CACAACGGTATAGCAGGGGGCCGCTAACTATTATAAATAAAAATAAGAATTTTGTTAATATAAGCAAAAATATCTAGTCCAGTGGTTCCCAACCTTTTCCAACTCGTGGCCCACACAACCAAACACATATGTTTCTGTGGCCCACATATGTGTTTACCTGCCTGAAAAGTGCCCTCAGTTTAAAAACAGTTAATTTAAGCAACACGGATCCAATCACACACATGTGAAGACTAGCGCTAGGTAGTCACTACTGTATTTTCTTTGTTTAGCTTGATTTTTAATCTTTTACATTTCAGGCATTGCTGAAGATTTATCCTTACTTGTAAATGAAGAAGCATCTGTATTTATCTTTTACAGGGACTCTGATAACTATGTACCCTCCATGTTTATCTGTTAAAGGGATAGTTCACCCAAAAATGAAAATTCTGTCATTAATTATTCACCCTCATGTCGTTCCAAACCTGTCGTTCCTTCGTCTTCAGAACACAAATTAAGATAATTTTGATGAAATCCAAGAGCTTTCTGAAATAACCCTTTAAAACCTATGGTTACTGACTAAACATTTTTGCATATATTGTGGACCACATAAATGTATGGTTGTGTGGGCCGCGAGTTGGAAAAGGTTGGGAACCATTGATCTATGTTAATCACTCAAAAATACTTATTAGTGATTAATGATGAAACACTGAATTATGAAGAAAAAAAACTTTACTAATGAACCTTGGGGGGGGGGGGGGGAAACTGTAAAAATTGTATGACACAATTAAGGATAAAGGCTTGAAAGATACAATTTGCTTTGTCTTAAGCCAGAATTATGTCCAAATGTATATGTATTAATTTAGCATAAATGGCACAAAATATTTGTCAAATAGAATATTAGAATCAAAACTTACTTTTTAAGGTAACTAACCTCACTAATGAAGAAATCTGAGTGCTTTGTCTCTGCAGCTCTCTGAACAAACTTGTCAAATGGCAGTGTCCTGAAATACAGAATTATGTTATTCTTCCACAGTTTTGTGTTGTGCTCCGGTATAAAGGATTCATGTAAAATCACACACACCTGTACACAAAGTTCTTATGCAGAAAGTCCATCCTGGGCTCTGGGGACACATGCACTTTGACCTCGCGGTCTCCCCCCCTCTGCGCGAGATAACTCACTGTCCATGCGCTTTAGAACCCCTGGTCTACGCTAAATAAAACACGTGTCATTCATTTGTCCAGCACACCACAATAAATGGCTGTTTAATATATAATACACGAGTTACCAGTGGATATATGTCCCTCAAGAAAGTCTCTCTGTCCACATCGGTGTAGACGGGTACCTCTAGCTTTTCCTGACAATCCATTTCTGACAGCCTGAACTTAAGTTTACTCTCCATTCGCTGCCATCTGCAGCATTCCGCCTTCCGCTGGGAAATTCGACTCGTTTTGGTGAGTCGACTCTTTTAAACAGTTTGTTTTAAAGAACCGAATTAAAAGCCGAGTCTCTGAATGCTCTGAACTAAATCATCCAAGTAACGCCATGTAGACATATTTTGTTTAGACATATAGTTTGTTTAAATAATGATTTAAATGAGTAACGTTAGGTGAGTTGTTGACCTGAGAACTCCTCAGACTAATTCAGTCAATTGAATCATTTAAGTGAACCGACTCATTCGTGAACAAATTGGACATAGCTACTAGTCAAGTCTTTAACGTATTCTGTTCACATCAGCACACATAGTATACATTTAATTAAGAATTTAAATAAAGGATAAGTCTGCTTTGTCTGAAAAATGCTGATATAGTGTAATCTGTTATATAAATGTCCATATGTGGAACTTTAGTCTCTTTAGTATGTTGTCAGTCGGATTTCCATAACAGATGGGCCACTGAGGATGATGGGAGAAAGATGGCGCTGCCCTTACTGAGGTGCTGCAGCTGTAACAGGCCCGTTTCGATTCTGATTCGGTACTTTACATCCAAGTCATTTTTAGCGAATCGGTCCAGACGACTCGCCCCCGCGGCGTCTGCAGTGTGCGGTGTGCGTCAGTACAGCTCTGAGCGGGGGAGACACGAGCAGAACCAGAAGGTTGTGGTTGTTGGCGTGCCGAACCCCTTCATCTGGTTCCGAACCCGCATCTACTTCTTTCTCATCCGAGCTTACTTCGACAAAGAGTTCAGCATTGAGGAGTTCACGGAAGGAGCCAAACAGGTGAATGCCAATACCTGACAAAGCGTTATGTGATAGAAAATAAATAATGTCAGTTATGACAGTGCCTGTAATAGTTATGGACAAATTTTAATGTCTTCATTTTTAAGCTAAAAAGAACAGTGTTTATTTAAAATAGAAATCTTTTCTAACAATATTTTTGAAAAGTCTTTATCACTTTTTATCAATTTAACACATCCTTGCTGAATAAAAGTATTAATTTCTTTCACAAAAAAGTTACTGACCCCAAACGTTTGAACAGTAGTGTATATTGTTACAAAAAATGTATTCGTTATATTTATCAAAGAATCCTGAAAAAAGTATCACAGGTTGAAAAAAAAAACATTAAGCAGCAAAACCACTATTGATATTAAATCAGCATATTAAAATGATTTCTGAAGGATCATGTGACACTAAAGACTGGAGTAATGATGCTGAAAATTCAGCTTTGAAAGTATATTAAAGTATATCAAAATTGAAAACCATTTTTAAATTGTAATAATATTTCACAATATTACTGTTTTTTTCTGTATTTCTGATCAAATAAATGCAGCCATGATGAGCAGAAGAGACTTCTTTAAAAAAAACATTAAAAATCTTACTGATCCCAAACATTTGAACGGCAGAGTATGTAAACAAAATCACATTTATTTTATTTTATTTTTTATTGGCTGATGATCAAAATGTTAATATGCTTACTTTTGGTTGTATATGTGAACTGTATACAATAGAGTCTAGGATTTAAAAATGTTTTAGTGTAGACCTGTATTAACAAGCAAAGAGACCAGATAAACTTTGTTAACCGGCAAAACCTAACCAATGCAGTTTTGAGTTACATGGTCACCCAGATAATAAACAGAGTGCTCAAACTTCTCCTTTTACTCTCAGGCTTTCTCGCACGTATCAAGATTGCTGTCTCAGTGTCAGTTTGAGGCTCTCGAGGGATTAGTAGCTAAAGATGTAAGTACATGACGATACCAATCACTTTAGTATTTACCTGTTTAAGGATATTGATTTAATTTAGAGTAATTCATCTAACATTCCCTCCCATAGCTAATAGGGAAACTTGAGGGAAAATGCGCTCAATTGCCTTTGAGCCACCAGAGGGCGCTGTCTGCTGAGTCCGATGAGATCATGTACACAACAACAGGAGACGTGGGCATTTACTATGATGAAAGCGGTGAGAGCCTATATGCTTCATAACACGCAATATTACGTTTAATTATTGTTTGTGGGCGTGTAATTTAGGAAATATAATCTTTGTAACTTGCATACTTGCATCCTATTTATCAGACTGTTTCTTATATGCCAGCCAAGTTGACTTCATTCAGTAGGTTACTATTTCAAAAAATAATTTTGTGTAACATAGAGCATAAATGAATATGTATGACAAAAATAATTGCAGTTTGTTTTTCCAATTGCTTTTAGGGAGGAAATATGTAAGTATTTTGATGCGTTTTTGGTACTTGACGAGTGCCAGACTTCCAGATGAGAGTGTGGAGGGAGCGAGAATATTCCAGGTTGTCATTGGTGGGGAAGGAGAGAGACCAGAGACCAAGAGATTGCTGACAGCCAATTATGAGTGAGTATTGTGATTACGCTCTTCATTGTCCGTGTGTTGAATCTCATAGTGAAATGGATTGCAAGGCTCTAGTATTTGTATTACAGTTTAACTTAACTATACTTATTAGGAGTAGTAGAAAACTGCTATTTTAATACCTTGAGTTGATGTCCAGAAATATTAGTATTATGTTATAGCTGTACTAAATTATAACATAAACATCAGTATAACATTTATGTCTGTCATTTGTTTTTGACAGATTCCAAAGGGAGTTTACTCAAGGCGTGATTCCAGATTGGATCATCACAAGAATAGAGCACTCAAAACTTCTTGACTAAGTGTATTTAACTTGCAGAGGAGAGATTTTTTTTCATGCTTTTTTTTTTTTTTTTAATATTGCTCAACATGCCAAAACATGTAGGCAAGATTCACTGGAAAAAATAATGCTGCAATATTCAAGCTCCAGGTACTTTCCATGGGCAATAGAAAGTTATAAATGTTGACTTCCTGTGTGCTTCCGTGTATTGCTGATCTCACATGAATAACTTTTACATTAATATGTTTGTAATTTATGGTTGGCTCCTGATTGATCAGTTTGGTCTTTAAAAAAAAAAAGGTGCTGTTGTTTTTTAAACTTTGTATGATGAGTTGGGGTCAGGTTGACTGCACATTGCACAAACTGTGCAACTGAACTGTAAAACTATACAAGAAAAAAAGCAATCCTTTAGTATTGAAGACATACAGACTGCTGCCTGGATACTTTGAAAGACAGGTTCATACAGAATGATGAACTGACCAGTAAGCTCTGTAACGGTTTTATCAAAAACTCCATGTTATGTAAAATATTTTAGAGCAAAAAAAAAAACAACAACATGAATAAATCGTGATAGAAAACCAACTAACATGATTTTTAATGTCCCCATGTTTTAATGTTTCCATTATATTGAGGCACATAATGGGGATACGAAAGTGTACTGCATAATATGAATTCCTCATTAATATTATGTACGTTCCCTTGCTTTAAACTTAAGCTTTCAAGATGACACGACGGACCATGGATTTCTCTTTACGCCTTTCAACGTTTTAAATATTGGAGAATTATTCCACGACGATTCCACACTCTGTTCTTGTGCAATCCCTCCCACTGTCTATTTTGATTGGCCAAACCCAGAACCTCTTCTCCCTCTCCATTGGCTACTCTCCTGTCTGCGTCGCGACGTCATCCCAGGGGCTGCGTGACAGGTCCGTAGGAGGTCTCCTATTGGTTTAAACAGGCAGTGTGGGTTTACAATGAGGAAAGCGGAGACACGATTACAATGAATATTTGCGAATAAAATCAAGCTTATCTTGTAGAGACATGAGACTCGCTGGATACGCGTTTTACGGCTTTGCTATTGGGCTTTTGCTTGTGGGTTTGCGGGATTTATTGTTTGGTTTCGGGGAGAACCGATGCAGCATGACATACATGTTCGAGTACCCAGAATACCGAGTGAGTATCACTGCAAACACAGTCTGTCTCACTGTTGCTTTCTTCACACGTTTGGTTTGCAATGAGCAAAATGCACCATTTCTTGTAATTAGAGCAACATCACTAGCTCACAGTTCATTGGCAGGCCATGCATCAGTTCTAACTTACCTGTTGTTTTGGCAACAACAAACAGAACTAATCAGCAACATCAGTCATTATACAATATTTCGATGGGCAAAACCCCCTCGCTTCCCTCACACTTATATTTTTATTGTGAGGTATTCATAGTACTAAAATATCAATAACTAAAATATTCATGGTATCAAAAGTATGCATCATTTATTCCTATCTAAAATATAACAAATATTAGGGCAAAATAAGTCGTCATTTTGTTACTGATGTTAAAAATAGGGTTATTTAAAAAACAATTCATGAACGGCTGAAGAAAATCATAAGTAATACCATGGTAGCATGTATAACTTATAAGAGAACGTCTCAAAATAAAGCTCTAACAGTTACCTGCCACGCATTCAAACCTGAATGACCTGAACATGCATTTAAAGTTTCGCTTGTTTCAGGAATCCTGTTTTACTACTTGATTTGCATTTTTGTCCTGCATTTTCCTCTGCGCATGAATGTTTAGTTTTGTATGTTTATGTGCTTGCACAGCGCGTGCAGCTTCCGAGGCGTGTCGCGCGCCAGTACCCATCATACGGGCTGTATGTGTATGGAGAGGGCGCATATGCTCAGGAGAGCAGAGGACTCAAGCTCACCGGCGCACCTGTGCTCTTCTTGCCTGGGAACGCGGGCAGCTACAAGCAAGGTGAGATGAAACTGGTTTGTCTTCAGTGTTTCAGTCAACATATCTTATGCATATGTAATTTGAGTAGCTTGGTTTTGTTTATTTTCCCTTCAAGATGGTTTTAGACTGTTAGGTGGTTTATTTGCTCAATCAATCTTGATCCTCCTACTGAGTTTTTCCCCAGTACTTATGAAATATTCGGATTGTTCATTACAAATAGAGGAAGACAGAGGTGAGAGCTCACACAGAGATGTTGTTCTACTCTCTCTTGCAGCTCGTTCTCTGGGTTCAGTGGCGTTGAGGAAGGCTGAGAACCTGGACAGAAGAATCCATATGAACGTGTTCACCATTGACTTCAACGAGGAGTTAGTGGCCCTGTATGGTGGCAGTTTGCGCAGACAGACTCAATTTCTATATGAAAGCATCAAAGCCATCTTGCGCCTTTACAAGGTCAGAGGTCAAGGGCATCTTTTTTCGCTTTCCATCCTTTTCTGTCCCTTTGCTACAGATCACAAATTACAGTTATCTAGACTGTTGTTCATAGTATACACACTTGATCATGATCATATAGACAAGTATTAGTTTTGAGCAGAGGTGTAAAGTATTGGAGTAAATGTAATTAGTTACTGTAATTGAGTATCTTTTCGGTTACTTTGTAGTTGTACGGAGTATCAAAGATATTAGCAACTTTTACTCTTTACTGCACTACATTTGAAATGAGTGTTGCAGTTACACATTACATTTTGCATGGACCCAGCTTTTTCTGCAGCAGTTTATTTCTGCTACAAAAGACGTTATCCTGCCGATTACAGGTCACTGCAAGTACTGCGTTTTGCCCTTACTCACCCAAACTTTTCAACAAGGTTATATGAATGCGAGTTCCTTGGCAAGTATTTGTGAATCACAAGTGTTTTATATATGAGATGAGGACATGACTGCAGCCGGCAATGAGGCCGAAATCAGCACATCCAGTGCAAGAAGGCTTTGGCTTTTTAATTTGACTTAACATTATTTTATTTATCCATTATACTGAAGAGACCTTTTTGAAATATATTGTTTTTGTTTGTTTGCTTTGTAATTTTGAGGGGTTCCGTTTTATTTTGGATTTTTTAGAAAATAAACGTGATTGCTCTCCTCACAAATCAACTCTTTCTTGTTTTTGTTTCATGCTCTCTGTGCCTTGCCCCGGACTTTTGTCACTTCCTGTCTCCCGTGGTGTTTGTAGTCTGTTTGTTCATTGGTTCCTCTTGATTAGTCTCCCCAGGTGTATCTTATCTTAAGATGTTAGCCCCCTGTGTGTATATATAGCATTCCAAGTTGTTGAATATAATGGGTGTCTGTTTGCCAGTCATTCTGTTCTTTGTTCCCTTTGGTTTTTGGCTTATTTTGTTCATTGGTTCCTCTTGATTAGTCTCCCCAGGTGTATCTTATCTTAAGATGTTAGCCCCCTGTGTGTATATATAGCATTCAAGTTGTTGAATATAATGGGTGTCTGTTTGCCAGTCATTCTGTTCTTTGTTCCCTTTGGTTTTTGGCTTATTGTTTGTTCTAGTTTTTCCATTAAATACCTGCACATAGATCCTTGCCTCTGCCTTTTCCCCCAGCTTCTCCACAACATTACAGTTTTTCACTGGCATGTCTCTTTGACTAGTGCATCTTTGAGCCTATATTTAGTATAAGTAAAATACTTAGTACTGTTAAAATCAGATACTCTAAGATTTTAACTCGGGTTGTTTTGGAATTGGTGACTTGTAATGTGAAGTGGAGTAATTTTCACTGTAAGGTATCTGTACTTTTACTCAAGTATGGTTTTTAGGTACTCTTTACACCTCTGGTTTTGAGTTGATAGTCTGCAGATTTTGGGCAGTCAGAGTTGACAGATATTACAGAGCATTCTTCAATATTTCAGTCAGCTCATCTTATACATACATACGTGATATTAATAAGTTGGTCTTGTTTACTTTCCCTTCAAGGTGGGTTTTGACAGTTGGGTGACAAAAAAAAAACGGTCTGTTTGCTTAATCTTGATCCTCCAGCTGACTTACTCCACAACTAATGAAACTTTCTGATTATTCATTGCAAGCGGAGAAAGAGAGATTGTGAGAGCTCATTGCAACACACAGACAATGCAGAAAATCTGTTGCTTAAACAGAAGATTATTGTGCTAACAATGCCTACATGCTTTATACTTTGAGCCGATTTTAGAACACATCTTGTTCTTATTTGTCATGCATCTCCTAGCAACAAGGCACGTTTCTGCATGTGTTGTTTAGTAGTGTTTGATTTTCAGCTTATAATAATGATGTATGCCATTTTTTTTGTAACCATTCACAAAGTTCAGTAAGTGTATAAAATCTTTTCAGATTTTAAGTCAATATTAATAAGTTGGTCTTGTTTACTTTCCCTTCAAGGTGGGTTTTGACAGTTGGGTGACAAAAAAAACGGTCTGTTTGCTTAATCTTGATCCTCCAGCTGACTTACTCCACAACTAATGAAACTTTCTGATTATTCATTGCAAGCGGAGAAAGAGAGATTGTGAGAGCTCATTGCAACACACAGACAATGCAGAAAATCTGTTGCTTAAACAGAAGATTATTGTGCTAACAATGCCTACATGCTTTATACTTTGAGCCGATTTTAGAACACATCTTGTTCTTATTTGTCATGCATCTCCTAGCAACAAGGCACGTTTCTGCATGTGTTGTTTAGTAGTGTTTGATTTTCAGCTTATAATAATGATGTATGCCATTTTTTTTGTAACCATTCACAAAGTTCAGTAAGTGTATAAAATCTTTTCAGATTTTAAGTCATATAGTGTATCCCAGCCTTTAGTGACTTAATTATTGAACCTCATTGCTATTTGTAGATCAACTACATCCAAACCAATGATCTTTTTACTACATTCCCATGGCTGCAGGACCGTCCAGACCCTCCCACAGGTGTGGCTCTGGTGGGTCACTCCATGGGTGGAGTGGTGGCAAGAGCTTTGTTCACCCTGGCACGTTTCAACCCACGCCTGGTCAGCCTCATCATCACCCAGGCCTCCCCCCACCAGGCACCTGTCCTGTCTCTGGACCCTTATATACAGGGTAGGAAAGAAACCTACAGACATACATAAATATACACACTACAGTTCAAAAGATTATTATTTTTTGTTTATTTTGAAAGAAATTAGTTAGATTTTTTTTATTCCGCAAGGACGCATTAAATTGATTAAATGTAACGGTAAAGACAATTATAATGTTACACAAAAATTCAATTTCAAATAATTACTTTCAATTCCTCAAAGAATTCTGAAAAAATATGTATTACCGTTTCCACAAAAATATGAACTATTAACTAACTATTTGTAACACTGGTAATAAGAAACCAGCATATTACAATGATTTTTGAAGAATCATGTGACACTGAAGATGAGAGTAATGGCTGCTAAAAATTTAGCTTTAAATTGAAAAACATTTATGGTGAATTGTAATAATTTCACAGTATTACTATTTTTACTGTATTTTTACTCGCATGCATACATGCAGCTATGGTGAGCATAAGAGACTTCTTTCAAAAACATAAAAAAATTCTGCTGCTATATTATACTTATAATATTATACTTTCTCAGACAAAAAGTTTGATTGCAAACGTACAGTTTTTTGGTGTGCTAACATCTGAATTGTGTGTCTGTGGTAGAGTTTTACTCTAGAGTCAGACATCGCTGGGCCACAAGTGCTGAAGACCTTCGAAATGTAACCGTTCTCTCTGTGGGTGGTGGTTACCTTGACTTCCAGGTGCGCTCTGGTTTGACGGCGCTGTCCTGTCCCATCGATGACCTCAATAAGATGTCAGTAGTGGTAGGTCTACTAGCTATTAAAGTTACAGGTTGAAATATTTAACCAAAGATAATTATTTCAAGTAGAACCTGATTTGTTGTTAATGTCCATACATTGATACATCAGTGTTTTCTGAATTGGTTTAAGGCAACTGCAGTTCCCCGAAGCTGGGTTTCCACAGATCATATTTCCATTGTTTGGTATGTTTTTGCATCCTAACATTGTTTCATCAAAATGGAGAGAGAAATAAAATTATTTTGCTTTTAAGCTGCTTAACTTCATAATGGCTAATGAATTTCATCCTTTATAATGTGAATTCCTTTATACTTGAAGGTGCAAGGAGCTGGTTCTGGCCACAGTCCGGGTGTTCTTCGACCTTATTGAACCTGAAACCGGGCAGGTGAGTCGTGTCCTAATACAGTGATAGTGTGTGTTTAAGGTGTTTTTATTGACTCATGTTTCTCTTTAGTTCACAGAGAGTCCTGAGAAGCGGATGTCAGTGCTGAACTATCACTTCTTTAGACATCCAGTGCTAAAACCTGGAGGAGCACAGGATGACCCTGTCACTTTCTCAGGTCTGTGTTTGTGTGCACATGTATATTTATAGGCTTATCAGTTTTCATCACAGCTGCACTGAAGATGATGCCTGATTCTCCTTTTCATGCTATTTTTATCCAAATCTATTCATCCATCCCTCCAGCTCCTCCTGAGGCGTGGAAGGAGGTCAACACACTCCGTCTGTTCTACAGTGCCCCCAAGGTGACAATATGTTTCATCACCTCAGGCAAAATTATGCCAGCTGCATCTCTCTGAATGTTGCACTAATGTAAGCCATCTTCCAACTCTTGACAGGAAGCTCAAGTCAAGTACTTCCTGTTTGCTCTCTCCAGTCGAAGGAAAGCGTATAGTCATTTCCACTGCCGCAGTAATAATATGGTGAGAGAGAGACCAAAAGCACCAAACCCAGAAACCTTTTTTTTTCCTTTAAATGTAGCATTTTGATGTGAATGTAGGTCTGTTTAAGGGCATTCCTATTACATTTCTTGGTGTCCCCTTTGTGAAGAAAATGTGGATTATTATTGTGCATTCAAATGTAATTTAAAGGGATAGTTCACCCAAATAAAAAGAAATGACCTCATGATTTACTCGCCCTCTAGCCATGCTAGGTGTATATGACTTTCTTCTTTCAGATCAATATGTCCTGGCTCTTCAAAGTTTTATAATGGCAGTGAATGGGTTTTGAAGTCTAATAAAGTGCATCCATCCATAATAAAAAATACTTTTTATTTTTTTAAAGAGTACTTTTTATGATGGATGCACTTTATTGGACTTCAAAATCTCAACACCCATTCACTGCCATTATAAAACTTGGAAGAGCCAGGACATTTTTTTTTATTATAACTTTGATTGTATTCGTCTGAAAGAAAAAGGTCATAAACACCTAGGATTGCTTGAGGGTGAGTAAATCAAGCAGTAATTTTCATTTTTGGGTGAAATATCCCTAAAATGTACAAATGCTTATGTTTTAAAACTTTAGTCAAATATTATGAAGCAAAATGTAAACTTGTAAAAAAAAAATAATGTATAAAAAGCAAAGTATGTATTTTGCAGGAAAGTGCAGTTTTTCTTTCATACAGGCTGTTGTCCAATTTGCAGTCTTTGTTTCTGTTGACTTATGCTCATTGTGAATGTTCTTAGCCATTTTGAAGAGCTGTTTGTCTGTACATGTTCAACAGGAAATGACCAGCTGGCTGTATGGCTGCACACAGATGAGTGGCTCAATGTGGTGAGTAAAATAAACAAGTTTTATAATGGCAGTGAATGGGTTTTGAAGTCTAATAAAGTGCATCCATCCATAATAAAAAATACTTTTTATTTTTTTAAAGAGTACTTTTTATGATGGATGCACTTTATTGGACTTCAAAATCTCAACACCCATTCACTGCCATTATAAAACTTGGAAGAGCCAGGACATTTTTTTTATTATAACTTTGATTGTATTCGTCTGAAAGAAAAAGGTCATAAACACCTAGGATTGCTTGAGGGTGAGTAAATCAAGCAGTAATTTTCATTTTTGGGTGAAATATCCCTAAAATGTACAAATTCTTATGTTTTAAAACTTTAGTCAAATATTATGAAGCAAAATGTAAACTTGTAAAAAAAAAAAAAAATTTATAAAAAGCAAAGTATGTATTTTGCAGGAAAGTGCAGTTTTTCTTTCATACAGGCTGTTGTCCAATTTGCAGTCTTTGTTTCTGTTGACTTATGCTCATTGTGAATGTTCTTAGCCATTTTGAAGAGCTGTTTGTCTGTACATGTTCAACAGGAAATGACCAGCTGGCTGTATGGCTGCACACAGATGAGTGGCTCAATGTGGTGAGTAAAATAAACCACATAAAAATCCTGTTAAAAAGAGCAACATTTAAGAAATAATTACCAGGGCCGTACAGAATCTGCACTCATAAAGTTAGCACATTTTCATGAGCCTGGTGCATTGCACACATGTTGATCCATACCATCAATATGGACTGTTGTTGATAATATAAATTGTATAGTATGTGTTCAGTTATTTGCTTTGTAAATTGCTTTCTTATCTATTTTTCCCCCAGTGTTCAGGCAGTAGATCTCTCACCTCAGACAGAACTTCTTCCAGCTTATAAGGTCATTCTTTGGTTATTCAGTAACATACCTTGTATAGCTACATTTTGCAAAAAAAAAAAAAGATGATGTATAAACTATCCGTTTCTTTATAGGCTGTAACAGTAAAAATCAGTGAGCTTTTGTCTGTTTCTCATCTCATCATTGATGCCTCGAACCCCAGTGGAGCACAGGTTAGAGGTTAATTTACAGTCCACATCATGTTCGTAATGAAAACTTGCATTACATGACAGACCACATTAGCAGACATTTCCCTTCTTAAAACATGCATTTAATGATTTATGTCAAAATAATTTGCGATGAGTTTTTTTTTTTTTTTTGGTTAAAGATACTTTTTAAACTCTTAATTGTCTGTTTGTAGTTCGTAGTGGAGTGTGAGCTGCAGAGAGAAGAGAGCTTGACTGTCTCAGTGCAGGTGCCTCATGTGCTGTCCTTTGGTGAGCCCACTAAACGCTCCATACTTGTTTACATTTTACTTTTAAGGCTTAAGAACAATGTTTTTTAGTTACCTGTTTTGCCTTAACGACACCTGGATGAGCTATTTTTTGCACATTAACATAAAATAGGCCTATATAAAACAATGTAATCTTATAACATTCTTACACTGTCAAAAAGAAAAGAAAAATAATAAGTTGGTGTGTTTATTGTATGTGGATGCTTTAACCTGAATGTGACTGTTTTAGGTCTGACTGTCAGTGACATCAGCATTAACTCCTCTGGGCTGCTTCATACACTACAGCTACAAGACTTTCATCAGGTGATCGCTCACAGCATTCCCTGTCGTTCTACTCTCCTTCCCTTTAAACCTCAGATTCTCCATATAGTTTATCACTCTGTTTTTTTCCCCCCCCAAATATCCGTTAATAGTAGAAGCTTTTGTAATGGTACAAATCCCATACTAATCTTTAGAATAGTTTCTTAGCTTGATGTTCTATGCAGTAATCTGTTACATCCTAACCTTTAATTAAGATTAAAGATATATACCCGAAAGCATAATAAAAGTGAATTTGTTTTGTGTTCCTTCAGGTTTATCAAGCTTTCAGAATAACGATCACGAGTCACTGCAAAGCCACTAAAGGTAACCAGTTTGTTCAGCTTTATCTGCCAGAAAAGAAGCATGATGATTTAAAAGACTCACGTTTGATGCTGTATGTGTATGTCTGATACTATTGTGTTATACAGACAGACTGCCCAGTGTGTACAGACTGAGAGTACCTTGGTTTCATGAAGACTCCTTTGACATTGCAAGGTAGAAAGAGGCTTGTCATTAATCAGGCAACTTTCCCCAGCTCTCTTTTTGCATCAGAGTACTGATAGTTGTGTTAATCATTACTTTTTTTTTTCCCCCACCAAAGTATTCCTTCGGTATCTGAAATCTACAGCATGCTTCACTCTAGCCGCCCAGACAACGCCACCAGTGCCCTACTGCAGCTCCACACTGCTCCCAACTGCCAATACAAGGTATTTCATCCACAATTTCTTGTTTTCTCGAAGGTGAACTTATCAACTAACATTGTATTTTTTTTTCTTTATAGGTGTCTATTCGGACTTCGTTTCCAAAAGTGCTTGGGCAGGTGTGCTTACATTGTGGTATTTCATTTGAAATGCTGTTCAAGTTTTAACCCCAGAGTATTCCTCATGTTCAAAAGGAATTGTTTGTTCTTTAGATTCTGCGTTTCTGTGGTCCAGTTCTCCCTGTCTACTCGGCTGTAGTGCTTCTTCTGATGATCAGGACTCAGCTGAGCTCCATCAAAAGATCTGGACATCCTGTTGGAATCCAAGAGGGCATGAGTAAATCCTTACAGCTCCACAAACTGGAAGTGCCCATCCTCCTGCTGCTGCTGCTGCTCAGGTTAGTCCTGATACAGGATCTTTTTTCTTTTTTTTTCAGGCAGTGTTCCATTTTGACAATACATTATTCAATAAATTCAGTAAATTAAATTTTTTTCCCCCCCAAAAATTAAACCATTATAAAATATTTACAGTATATATCTATTTTTCTTTTTTCCCCCCCTATTGTTCTACCATAGGCAGAGCTGGTTTCAAGATGTCTGGTCCTCTCTGGGTCTCCCTGCGGTGGATGCTCTTCCTCTAAACTCTGTGGAGGACCTACCCCAGGATCCAAAGGCCTCTATGCAGGAATGGCCCCGTCTAGTGTCCCCACTGCTCTATGTGCTTGGTGCATCCATTGCATTCTGGGGTAGCACAGTCCTCAGAGTGTTTGTCTATTTCCTGTCCTTTGCTCTTGCTCCACTGCACAGGTAAAAGTAATGTTAATATCAGCTTTGTAATAGGTGTTCTAAATAAATAGTTTTACTAACATCAGACAAAAATTAACACTCATAATTCTGTGAGTTCAGTAATGCTTTTTTAAATCCTTTTTTTTTTTTTTTGAAAGAAATCAAGGATGCTTTAAATGTATCAAAAAATTATAGTAAATATATTTATAATGTTACAAAAGGTTTGTATTTCAAATAAATGCTTTTCTTCAAATGTTCTATTCATCAAAGAATCCTGAAAAAATTGTATCACCGTTTCCACCAAATTACATTGACAATAATATTTTTTTTCTTCAGCACCAGATTAGCATATTAGAATGATTTATGAAGGATCGTGTGACACCTGAAGACTGGAGTAATGGCTGCTGAAAGTTCAGCTTCACTTTTAAAATGTATTAAAATAGGAAACAGTATTTTTAAATTATAATAATATTGTAATTATATTATTACTATTCTAGAATATTATTGTTTTTACCGTATTTGATCAGATAAATGCAGCCTGCTGAGCAAAAGACTTTCAAAAACCAGAGAGTTTAGAAAAATCTTACTGACCATAAACATTTGAACGAAAGTGTAAAAACATATTCAGTGCACATGCAAAAAAAAAAATAATAATCTTTTTTAAACATGGTCTTTAAATGTCTATGAATCTTAGGTGTTCATTAATAATTTATTATATATATTAAGTCAATATTTTAACATATGCACTACAGCACACATAATTGTACTGTGGTTACAGCCCATAAAATAAAGAGCCTTCTTGTATACAAAGTATGTGCATTTTGATCTAAAGCCTTGATGTTGAACTACAATATATATATTCTAACAACCACTCCAGTACAGTTAATAGCTGAAATTAACTTTTTGCCATAGAAACTAGTTAGTAGTAATAAGTCGTGTGTGTGTGAGACACTGTGTTTGTCTGCAGACCTTCAGTGTCTCGGGATTGCGGCACGCTTCGTCTTCATTCTCAGATTCTCCTGATTATCTTTTTGAGTGTGTTGGGAGGCGTCACATGTGGAGCACTGGCTCTTATGCTCTCCTCTCTTCTCCACCTCTACAGGGTGAGTGATCTGTTCATCCTTCATCAAGCCCTTTCATACCTGCTCCATATAAAGATGTGCTAGGGTTGGTAAGGGTTGATTCTAGAGAGATGTTTTTTTTTTTTTTACCTTGAGGTGAATGCTTGTCTTAAGAAATTCCTACTGAGCTCTCTTAATATCTACTAGAATATTTCTTTCATTTGAATGTACATTTTTCTTTATAGTGATTTCAATCTCTTGTGATTATTTGTCTTTGTCCAGGTACTTCGATTACAGATGACAGAGAGATCACTGAGCCACATGTTGAACCTGGTATAAATGTCTTATTTTACATCATTGATACATTTTTGAGTTTCTAGTTGGCTCACAATACCTGTGATTTTAAAATTGTTTTGTTTCTGTCAAACCAGGCACCCCAGAAAGTTTCACAAAAATCTGAAAATGGTTTTCGTGCCAGTGATTGTCACAGTATGGTTAAAGAATGTAACGGCAGCCCTTTACTGTCAGAATCAGTGCTACAGGACGTCAGAGATGATCTGCAGCTCCACTTTAGTCTGTCCACACTGCTTACTTTTACCATGATGCTCAGTGTCCCTTCCCTTATCCACTGGAAGCACAATCTCAGGTAATAGTCATTTAAGATATAAGTTAATTTGATTTGTTTTTTGTTGGTTTCAATTTCTCACGCAAGTTACTAAAGTACTGCAAGTACTACAAGAGAGAAACTGCCTGAGAGTGAAGAGAAAGTACTCTACAGCCTCTAAGAGTGATTTTAATTGGCATACGTTTGTGTCTTGTTCAGATATTGGATTCATCTGGATCCTGACCCCTGCTGGCCTCACGTTGTACCTCTGCTCATCAGCTCTGTACTGCTCATCAGCTGTAACACAGATAATCTTCTACGCAGGTTTGTGTGCATTTCTTACTAAATTAGTCATGTCATTTTACATCATTTCAAATAGTCATGTTCATTAATGGCACTCCTCAGAAAGCTTAATATGGCCATATCAAAGAGCTTTTAAAATTATCTCATTATTTATGATGTTGCTTAATTTTAATTCGAAATAATCACAAATATATAGTGAATATTATATTTAAATACATACAAACTGTTGTTGAAAGTTTCGGGTGGGTAGGATTTTTATGTTTTTAAGTCTTATGCGTTTATTTAATCAAAAATACAATAAAAACGGTAATATTGTGAAATATTACAATTTAAAATAACTGTTTTCTATTTTAAAATGTCATTTACGGCTGTGATGCTGAAGCTGAATTTTCAGCATCATTCCTCCAGTCTGCAGTGTCACATGATCCTTCAGAAATCATTCTGACATGCTGATTTGATGCACAAGAAACATTTCTTTTATCAATGTTGAAAACCGCTTTTGCTACTTAATATTTTTGTTGAAACCGTGATTCTTTGATGAATAGAAAATGGAAATAGAAATATTTTGTAACATTTATAATGCCTTAACTGTATATTTTGATTAATTGAATGCATCCTTGTGAAATAAATGTATTAATTTCTTTCTTTCTAAGAAAAAGAAAATCTTACTGTCCCCAAACTTTTGAGCATTCTTGATGCCAGCTGGAAGTCTGTTGTAACAAGTTCTAACTATTCTGTGTGTCTGTATTTATACTTGTATTGCAGCAAACGGATGCTGAATCTGACGCTTCATCTACTGTTGCCGCTGTGTGTGGGCATGCTGGCTTTTTGTCCGCTGCACATTTACAGAGTCACTTATTTCCTGTCTACAGCTCTGACCCTCTTGGTCTGTTCTTGCTACTTTTGACCTCCCTGCAAACTTTAAACGTGAGTCTGCACTGAGATTGGAAAAATACCCAGGCCTTGTATAAACTCAGACCAGATTAGACCAAAACAGCCTTAGAACCCATGTGTGCATTCAGTGGGATCACATGGACTAGTGACATCAGTGGACCAGCACATCCGGAGGCATGTGACTTGTTGTTTGTCATCATTTGTAGCTTCTGTACAGGGTATTATACTTGTTAATGCTGGTATGCCTGTATTCGTGAGCAATACCTCTTGTTTATGAGGCTAGTTTCCCAGACACACATTAAGCCTCGGCCTGAACTAAACTGAAGACTATTTAATCAGTGTCTGAGAAACTAGTCTATACTGGTGTGTGTTGGGGGTGTGTTTATGTCAGATTTAGTATTCATTGTAAAAGTCAACATGAAATCATAATTGATAAGGATACACAAAATATCAATGTCAATTTGGTTTTCAGTGGGAATTAGAATTCTTTTTGAAATTATTTATTTGTTAATTTTTCAGTATCCGGTATTTCTCTGGTCTTATAATTTTGGGATGCCTAAATTCACTTGAAACGGTTGTTTTTCATTTTTAGTGATTTATTTTTAAAATTTATTTATGTGAAATGGTATATAACATTATTATCTTTTATCCGTATCAGCTAGAATTAAAAAAATGATGCCCTATCAATTGACCCTGTTTACTTCCTGATATTGTGTGACTCATCAGTGCATGTTATTCCAAAGATTTTTTTGAATAAATATTGAGAATTGGAGCAGAGAACACCACCTACATTTGCTCCAATCAAAATAAATATTAATTATTTAATTTTACGTATTGATTCTGATCATTGTGGTGTGGATAGTGACTGAAAAGTTCATAGTATCATAGTGAATGCATTGTAAAACCATTGGGAACAGTTCTGTTCGCTTAAACTAATGTTATCACTTTCAAACAAGGCTTTTCCTTTATCAGTTGAGTCTGAGAAGAATTTGCCTTAGTTCTGATTGACAGTATCAACCATTTTTAATCACACTACAGCATTAGTTAACAATTTTGTAGTTTAACAAAAAAGGCTGCAGGAAAAAAAAGCTTTTGCAATTCATTCATTAATGTCACATGGAAGTAAAATGGGTTACGAATGCATTTTCATGTTGACTTTTAAGGGTGTTAAAGCAGCTTTAGGTGTTTGTTCAGTTTTTCTGCAATTCACATGTCTATGTGTGAGCGTGACTGGATCTCTTTGCCTATTCTATCTTCGATCTGTCATTTCTGCCTTAAGCCATTTAGCTTTGAATGCTCATGTAATGCCTGTAGGTGCTGAAGTACCTCTGTGTTTGACAGATCACTTGTTCTTAACACTCTTCTGCATTAGCTGAAGCTGTAAGGCAAATCTGAGTAGCATAACATTCCATCTGGAGGTATTATCTTGAGTTTCTTGAGATGCAATCGCGAAACGACTGACAAGCAATATGATGATTTTCTAGAAATGTGCACAAAAAGACATCACAGCTACATTTATGGTTATAGTGCTGTCTTATAACCTGAGACAACTTATTAGAAACACTGCCACAGTCACAGTAGCCATGAGATTGTTGCTGTCTGCACAGCTTTTTTTTTTTCTTTCTCCAATTTAACAGTATCTTTGAGGACGGATGTTGAGGATGTTTGTCAGTCCATCCAAGTAGTCTGATATTTAATCAGATGTCCCCCTCTCACATGGGGATGTACTTGACCAAAAACACTCATATGGCACAAAATGGTGTCTTCTGCACTGTGAATGTACCTGAAAGTGTGTGTGTGAGTAATTTTGCAGTGAGCTTTGATGTTTGCTGTCTTTTTTTATGCTATGTTGAAATCTTGCTCTGCCTCATGCTAGATTTGAGCTGTTTTTGTGGTGAAAGTGTGAAAGGCTGCCTTTTTTCTATCAATATGATTGTGACTGATTGTTTTCACTGTGATGTGCCACAATATTTGGAGGCCAGGATCTGATTATATGTCTCGAAACAAGAACTGCTAATTCAGGACCAGATCTGTCCTGATCATGTGACATTGAAGCCAAATGGATCCAACAACAACACTTTAACACTGCAGCAATGTTTGTATTGATGCTAGTGAGGTTTCTGCTGTGATACGTGTAATGAAGAATTTGCTCATTTTGTTTCTTAGAGACTGTTGTTATGTGGTTAATAGCTCTACTGTAGCAGTTAAATATTAATAGTAAAGACCCTAGAGGGATGTGGTTTTATCAATACACTACCATTCAAAAGTTTGGGGTCAGTACGATAGACTTTTTTACAAGAAATGAACAATAAAATTCAGCAAGAGTGCATTAAATTGATCAAAAGTGTCAAAATGATCTACCAAATCACACATTAGAATAGTTTCTGAAGGATCATGTAAGTCTGCTGCAAATTCAGCTTTGCATCACAGAAAAAATTTCATTTTAAAAATACATTACAATACTTTTTTTATTTTAAATTGTAATAATATTTCACAATATTATTGTTTTTAGATCATATAAATGCAGCCTTGGTGAGCATGAGAGTCTTAAAAAAAATTATACTGACCATAAACTTATGAACATTATTGTATGCCATAACAGGTGATTGAATCAATTAAAACAAATAAGTTTAATTTATATTTGAATTAAGATTTGAATGTATAAATTGTTAAAATCAATAAAAAAATGTAACTGATAATAAAAATCTAATTGTAAAGCAAAAACTGTTCAGAAATTCTGAAGTATTTATGTATATATCTGTTAAATATTTCGATGTATTAACAAGTTTAGAATATGAAGGGACCTTTAGTGAAAAATGTGATTTGAGGGAACAAAAGCCAACAAGCCTGCACATTCCACAGTCATGTTCTGTGTGGCAAACACAAATTCAGTATTGCTGTTGGTTTTAAGTGGGGTTTCAGACTGGGCTTCAAGTTAAGCTGTGACTTTCGACCTTTTTATAGAACGCAGCTCACTGCCTCATGAACCTAAACGCTGTTGTGCTTTAAAATAGTTGCAGTGACTCACTCATTACAGTGACTGTTATATCTAATGAAGAGTCATACATCTGTATTGTAAGGAGTTGATATTACTTCTCATTTGAAATTGAGTTAATTTTTAAAATGTAAACATTAATCAGCTGTTGTAAATTGCTCACAACAAACCTTTTGAAGTATAATATAAAATGTTTACTAAGAGATCTAGTTCAAGTTGATACAAGTGTGACTATAGTGCTGTTTTGCTCGGTTTGTGGTGCTTTTGTAAAGAACATATTCCACTCATGTGCAGTGAACATTTATGTAAACGCTTTTTTTAAATACCAATATGTGATGAAGCACTGTCTATTAGCACATGTATGCTAACATATTAGCACTTCTATTGACACTCGGACTGATTTATCATCATTGGCTTGCACGTGTTTGGCCAAACAGCAGCATCACTGTGATTAGTTGTGATCAATGTTATCTTAATACAGTGATTAGGGCAGTTCATGCTTATTCCTGGAGCAACTTTTGTTGTTGTTTAATATACAGACGTGCTAGAAAGTGTCAGAGATGTTGTGCACCTGCTTTGTAATTAAATTGTTACAGTGCAGGATAACAATGTAATTGCCTATTTATCTTTTAAGCTTTTTATATGGTGAAACAACAAATTGATCATTCTCAGGTTAAATAACATGTTGTGGAGTCAGTGGCTTTTAGTGTTTATATATCTTAACATGTTATTTTACTCAAAAATATGTGCACTTTTTTTGAGCACTACTACAGTTCCAATAAAATAGTTTACTCCGAGTTGGTTCTCAAGTTTATTGAACATTTTCTGTTTGTGTGTGTGTGTTGTCAGTTAGGTTATTTTTTTTATTTATTTGTTCTGTAGATTAAAGAAGAAAAGCCTTAGCTACAAAATAAAACTTGTTAGACTAGAGACTGATATTAAAGGGATAAAGGGCAACGTTAGCGTATGGCTTCAGAAGACTTGCCTATATGGTGCATGAGTTAAATGGACACATTGTTTGTTTGTTTTTGTTTATTTGCTTTATTTTAAAGTAAATAATTTACATTATTGTGTAAATTGCTTACATAGTGTAAATTATGTCCCCCTTTTTTTAAAATGTATTTCTTGTCACTTAATTTTATGTATATTTATTTATGTATTTTAGCTTGACTGCTTCAAAGTATCTTCAACGATATTCTTTTAAAGTTCGTTTTTATTGAATTTGTATTTAATTTTTTTTAATTTTGTCTTTTTGTATTTCTGTTTTTATTATATGATGTTGACATTATATTCTTTAAAAAATTTTCATTTTATGTGCACTGTCCCTTTAAAAAAGAGTGCAGTATGTGTTAGTAATGCCTAGAAAAATCATAATAATAATAATAATAGTCACATTTAATAATATTTAGCTTTTTTTCTCAGCCTAACAGATGGCTATTAGTCATTGCAGTTGCCAAAACACCATTTGACTGGAGATGTTGAAGTTCTTTCATCTTCAACAGATAGAAAAGACAGATAGCTATGTAATCAAAACACGGTGTCCTCTAAGATTCAATGCACTGTTAAAATTGCTTTACAGAACGGTCCTCCTCTCCATTCATAAATCATTTGGCCTATACAGCTCCTTCATAGTCAGCAGTATTTACTAGCCAGCCCAGAGGAAGGCTGGTTTTTGCATTTTTCCCCCCTCATTTTGTATTTAATTATGAGATTCAAATATTTCTTTTTGGTGACTTTTTATGCACTAATTTGTGCTGGATTATCTTGTCTGCTGGTATCTTAACAAGCTTACATTTTTGATGCACTGAAAATATTTGCTACAATGTTGCCAAATTGCTTTTTTCAGTCCAAACACACACAATTCGCAAGTTTAAAGACCGCACTAAAGACGGAATGCGTTTAAGGAACTTTAATATTATTAAAATACACGTTCAACTCCTCTCATTATCATTATCCCCTCTCGTCTCTCTGTCAGTGAATTTAGCTTGTTGCTGTATTTGTCTTGACACTTATGGAATGAGAACACTGGTCAGTTCCAATCTTCTTGAGTACAATCTGGAGAATTCGTTCACAGCTTCATCCAGGTGTAACACCCCTGTGGACTGTTTGTTGTGGTTTCTTACCCTTGTGTTGGTTTAGCCCATCTAATTATTAGTTAATCACCTCATTGTGCTCACCTGTCGGTCCCTCGTTAACTGCCCTATATCTGTTCCTGTCTCTTGTGTTCTAGTTTGTCGGTTATTGTGAATGTTACCCCGAGTGTGTGTCTGTCTCTGCCTTGTTGTCGCTACATTAAATATCCTTCTTTTGAATCCTTGTTGTCCTCGTCATCCTGCCTGCCTCCACACACCTGGACCGTGACACCAGGTTGGCTGAAGTTTTGAAGAAGTCACTCAATTTAAATGAGCATTTGTAAGATCACTTACATAATTTCTCAGCAACTAAGCTTGTTTAGGGTGCTTTATTTATTTGGCCTAAGTGAAATGTGAACATAAACAAACAATCCAAAATTGTTTGTTTATATTCATTTAAGATGAACTAGCCCACCTAAAAATGGTCTAGATCCGCCCCTGGTCAGAATTTACTGTGTTCTTCCTTAACCCATGCTACCGCACTCCACTGAGTTTTCTGGGCCCTTTTCAACCTCTGGGCCCTATGCAATCTGTCCCCCTTTTCTCCCCAGTAGCGACACCCCTGATAACAACCTTACTCTGTTTGGGGGTCTTTTTGAACAGGTTCAATATTCTGTAACAATGAAGCTGCTGCCTGCTTTCTCTTCTGTCTCTCCTGCTCTTTTCTCCCCATACTCACTATCCAGCTGGATGTCCTTGGCCTCACAGATTTTGCTAACGTATTAAACATGATTTACAGTTCAGATGCAGGTTTTCACAAAAACAAAACAAAATCTTCTAAAATGATAAACATCACAATTCAGCCTTTAAACCGTTTTAAAAAGGGATGCATCAAACGTGTAAATTATTAATTTAAAACATTACTAATTTAATTGATTGGAAATGCAAATTCATTCTCTGCCAGCAGGAGGCGCTTTCAGAACGGCAGAAATATAGCGGTTTCCCCCGGTAACAGCAGTACACAAGGAGGCGCTGAGTTAATAAATGCATCTTTATCAAGCATTACAGAAAAGATTTTAAAATGCCATCGAAACTTTTCTGAAGTCAGTTCCCTTTGAAACGTGCAGCATGCTCATATTTATTCAATGAAATAATTACACAGACAGCCAATCAGAATCCATCCTCCTACTTTAAAGAGCTGGAGCATTTAAAGTGGCAGACGTGTTGCTAATAATATAGTTATTATAGTTATGTTTACAGTTATCGTTTTGTTTTTGTTTAAATGGCCCGTTAATGTGAATTAACAATAGTTATAGATCAACAATAGTATTTTTTTTACTATTTACAACTTTATTATTTTTTTTGTTTTCATTTAAATGTTTTAGGTTTGAAATGTATGCATTTGTCATTTTATTTAATTTATTTTATATTCTTAAAAGCTTTTAGTTTAAATTACTTTTTCTTATTTGTGTATGTTTGAATTGTTTTTAGCTTTACCATTCTGCAGTGTAAGACTTCTAATTGAAAATGCTGCTAACAGCAAGTGCACATATTGCATGTACAATACAGTGATCCACAATAATAACTGGAGCACGTATGTGGGGTACTGCTGTAAATATTGTTTAATGTTCATTAGTATTAATATATTATTAAAATTTTACATTAGACGTTAGTGAGTATGGAGTTTTAATGTGGTTTGTATAACCAGCAGAAACATTATATTGTAGCAGGATCAATTAAAATGCACAAGAAATAATCACCGTCCATCAGTATATTTAGTAACGCTGTTTAGAAATTTGGAAAATCTCAAAAGTTGACATTCATTTTCACAACTGTCCATGTCAGTGATTTTTGAGGTATAAGTGAAGATGCTGAGAAGAAGGATGGCTGAGCCGGAATGTGTAAAAAAATAAACATAGATGCTGTTAAGTGTAAAGAAATGACATCCACATTTTAATAAAGGAGAGGAAATAAAAATGACTATGTGACCAGTGTAGACCCATGATTCATGATCAAATGACATTCAAATGAGCTGATTGTTTTCAGGGAATCAAAAACATACAGCACAACCAGTATAATTCAATTCATGAACAAATGACTCCTATGAACTGGTTCCTTTGACGAATAGTCAAGTCAAGACACCTTTATTTTTTAACAATACAGATTGTGTCAAAGCAACTGTACAGCATTAATTAGGACAGTATTGTGTCAATAATGCAAAATGACAGTAGCAAACACTCAATTTTCAGTTAAAGGCAGTTCAAAAACATTGAATTCAGTGATGTCATCATGCAGCTCAGTTCAGTTTAAATAGTGTCTGTGCAACGATGTCGCTGGAAATGAAGTGTCCCCAACTAAGCAAGCCAGAGGCGACAGCGGCAAGGAACCAAAACTCCATCGGTGACAGAATGGAGAAAAAACCTTGGGAGAAACCAGGCTCAATAGTTCAATAGTTCAAAAGACTTTAGAATTCAGGTGTCACTGGTTGGAATGTCGTTGAATCATTTACTGAATTAACCAGTATTATTGTTAACTAAATCTAAAAACTGAAACAATTAGAAATCATAATTAAAATAAAGGTGTAATAAAATATAAAAATTAGATGAAAACTTAAGTTAACTTGACCTTAAAAACTTAAAGGTTTTTAAAAGTTTATAGTTAAATTACAGTAGTAATAATAATAATACAAATTTGATACATTTATATAACATTTTTCTAGGCACTCAAAGTGCTTTACGTTGTGAGGGGGTATCTCCTCATCCACCACCAGTGTGCAGCATCCACCTGGATGATGCGACGGCAGCCATAGTGCTCCAGAACGCCCACCACACACCAGCTTACTGGTGGAGAGGAGAGAGAGTGATGAAGCCAGTCAGTAGATATGGGGATGATTAGGAGGCCATGATGATCAGAGGCCAATGGGCAAATTTGGCCAGGATGCAGAGGTCACACCTCTACTCTTTTCGAAAGACACCCTGGGATTTTTTTATGACCACAGAGAATCAGGGCCTCGGTTTTAACGTCTCATCCGAAGGACGGTGCTTTTTAACAGTATAGCTTTCCCGTCACTATACTGGGGCGCTAGGACCCACACAGACCACAGGGTGAGCACCCCCTACTGGCCTCACTAGCACCTCTTCCAGTTTTCCCAGGAGGTCTCCCATCCAGGTACTGACCAGGCACAACCCTGCTTCAGTGGGTGACCAGCCGAGAGCTGCAGAGTGATAGCTGCTGGCAAGTAGTACAATTACAAAAAAAACCTTAAAGTTATATAAAAATATGTAACTGCTAAAAATGGCAAAAGCATAGCAAAATTATTAAAACTTAAACTAAAATAT